ACGCATTGTTTCCAGTCATAATTTGCTGAGATGTGTAGTTTATATTATTGTTGTTGTTTATTTTTTTAAATATCCATTGAAGTTGGTTAAGAAATGAATTACTTACTATAATTTCTGCCCTCAATGGTTTGTTGTACCAGACTTCCGAAGGGCCACAATACGGCATAGGTGATTGCCCCTCTGGTTAGCGGATGTGCATTGACAAAAAGGCGCCATTTCGTTTTAATAAAATTAAAACCCACCCTGTTCATTTTTATCTAAATTAATGCACATTATTTTATCTTTTCTTAGCATTTGCAATTAGTAAAAGAAATTAAAACAGATGACTTTGAAAATATATTTAAATTTTTTTATTATAAATAACGCATTTATATATGCATTCACGCGACTTTACCAGACATAATGGATTGTCAACAAAAACATTTCCTGTTTTGTTTTCTAATTTTTTTTTTTTGTATTTTTTATTTATTATTTAAATATCAGAATTTTATTTTTAGCCACACGCATGCGATATTTATTAGGAAATAAAAATATATATATAATTGTATTCAGTTTTAAAATTTTCAAGATCAAGGACGCTTATTAATAATTATACACTTTTCACAAGGCCTCTGTTTCAGTTAATATATTTAATTTTTATTTAATCACACATATGCATACTTTAAGCAGTTTATAGTTTTTTTATATACCATATACTATATATGAGCAAGTAGACTAAATTCTTCAAGACTAAATACTGGCAGAGATGCACGAGAACTAAATCGGTACATATTTTTCAAAACGAATTTTCGGAATGCACATTGCAAGCGATCGGCTAACGAAAAGCTTTTTGGGTTGCATTCACGTAAAAGCTTTGATCGTCAGGACACGTTAGAAGCTTTTTATGATCAATTTTAAATAAAAAAGCTACACTGATATTTGACTATATATATTCTATACTAAGACTTGTAATGAACTTGGAAATTTCTTGAAACCTATTGTTGATTTATTTATTATTAGATCTTTAAGAATCAACGAATAATGACTTGTAAAACTTTATATACTCATAATTGATGAGAATCAAAGCATGGAAAAGCTATATTCGATCAAACAAATATTTATACATTAAATATTTATCGACTCTTACCAATATACTTCCTTATTCCAATATATGTTCTTCCATTTTATGTGATAAATGCATCACATAAAATGGAACATGATCACTATCATTTGTTATGTTAGTTTTCAGAGTGTACTTAAAAACCCAGTTGAACTGAAATAATGGCCCGCTGTGATACCACGGATAAGTGTTGTTCATACGCAGATCACAACGATCGCAAGAGGAACACTTGAACACAAATAATGCTCCGCTGTGATATCACGGATTAGTATTAGAACGATTCCAAAAAGATCTTAGTCCTTTTCTACAAATGTATTTACGATAATGATGCAAAAATTAAAATATTCATTTTTATTTGTCCATCATTTTTATATTGCGTGTTCAGAAAAGATATATATTCTGTTGATATTGAGGATTTCTTTTATTTAATTTTGCTCTTTAATACTTTATTTTCGCTCTATATTATAATATTAGAAAAATTGTATACATAATGTAACTCGAGCTTATTCAATTTAGTAATGTAAATAATTCTCATTTTGTTGGATTATCAGTTAATGTATCAAAAAATTACCCATTATTTAAATATTCAAAAATTATAATTCTCATTATGTAGAGTTGTTTTTTTCTATAAAAGACAATTTTTTCATTGAAATCTTATTGAATCTTGATTATTTTAATATATATATGTATAATTATTAGGAGATATATTTGCATAAATTTCTATTGCCGTTAATTTTATTAAAATTTGTACCGGTGGTTACGACATTCCAAATTTTTTTACGGTGATCGGTATTTTTTTCCGAAAATTTTGTGTGTGAAAAATAAGACTAAATGTCACATACTTATTTCGATAAAAGAGAAAATGAGATAAATGCAGTGGTGTGAACACTTATAAAAAAAATTTTGTAAAACCGTTAAAGGTCTTGATCTGTTTTGAGTTTAGTTTTATAGTTTTAAAATGAAGCATTTTTAGATTACTATTTGTGTGTGTGATATTTAGAAGAATCTTCATAAACCAAGATTTTCGTTTTTGAGAAAATAAAAACTTTATCTTATCTCGTTTTTATAGGCAGTAATACAAAAATTTTTATACAATATGCAAGGCTAGTAATGTGTGTCGGCTATATGATATATAATATTTCTTAAGCAACTAAGATTTTATGTAAACATTAACAAATTGGACTTCGGACGGTGTGCAAAATGTTGGCAGCACATGCGATCAGCTGATAAATAAACGTATGTAAGCATATTGTGTGTTGTTCACTTTTGCATACAATTTTAAGTATTTTTATAATTTTAAATGTGTACGAGGATACATAAAACATTTACTTTAATGTCAAAAATGAATATTAGTATTATCCATTATTATCATAAACTATCCAACTTAATAATTTACAAAGTCATCTGTTGATATAATTGCTGATTCGTCTATACTTACTTAAACAATTATTTGTATTTAACAAATATAAATCACTTTCTTGTTTTTTTAACTTCGGCAATTTTACGCTTTTGCCGATTTATAATAATTAACAAATTCTATTGTCACATTTTTAAAAAATTCTTTTGGTCACATTAACCTTTTTTCAAACTGATTTTGTGTAGTAATCAAATAATTAAGAGTAAATTTTTGGTTTTATCTCTTGCTTTGCATAAAACAGCTGTTTCGTTCATTGCTGGTGTTGCCACACATGCGACAATTATTTAAAAAAATTGTAAAGGTTTTAGTTCTAAAAAAGTATAACTATTTTCATTATGCAATGTTCATATACATACTTCTTTTAATATATTATGCGTATTTTATTTATTTTTTTGTTAATAGTTATTGTATATAATCATAAAAAATTTATAATAGTTTTTTTGTATATGTATATTGACTCGAATTTTACGAAAAACTATATCGATATGATAAAGAACCTATTTGTTATAATAAAGAAAAAAGATAAAGCTTTTATTCTTGAAAGAATGGCATAGAATGGTAGTTATTATTAAGAGAATGTGTATATACATGTATATAATATATATAAAAAAATGCACATTCATTAAAGAAATTAGTAATTAAGTGACATTTTTAAATAGGATTATCACAATTACTATTGTTGTGCCGTTCAAATGGAAACTGAAAACTCAACCCATATTTGGAATATAATATATGGTAAGATTCTATATTATTTAAATTAAAGTAACTAATTTCCTTTATTACTTTATTGTATTATTGAAAAATATAATAAATATTGAATTTAAATATTTTGGATCTTTATGTAAAAATCTTTATTTACATCTTTATGTAAAAATTTTCCAGTTTTTTTAATAATTAAAATTTTATCAAGTTTATGCTTAATATTACTCTCGTCTTAATTATTTTATATTTCATTAAAAATTAAGATATATAGACTAATACAAACGATGATGTTATTTCTTATTTATTCTCTTCTCTCCCTACCCATGTCGAACTCAATTCATTCAACAAATTTCTATAGTACAGATCGGCCAGTTTTATAACTCTTGGAGTTGCTTCTTTGTTTTTCTCCTTCTCTCATTTTTCAGGTTTTATTTGCATGTTTTATTTTTCCAAATGTTTATTCGGAAGTTACTTCATAAAATCTGCTTAATCTTCATCGTACATTACTTGGTAGTCTAGTGATGTGTTTAATAAAATACTAACGATGTGTTAGTTCCTTAGTAGCAAGTTAAGCATATCACTAAAATTGCATTCTAATACAACTTTTTAATATATTTTAACAATATAAAATATTGTCAATAATCTCCAAATGCTTTGTATGAATTGTATAAAACCATATACATTTCCATATGCTATGGAAATATATTTTAAAGATTGCAACAACTTAATCCATTGAGTTAAAAAAAGAAGTTGTATTAGAGACCTTGCAACAATCCTGATACCTTGTATTTTTTTTTAATTAAGGATTCAAAAATTGGTTTATGTGAGAAAAATTGGGGACTTACACCACAACGTGACAAAGCGGTATTGTTGAATATCTATATATATGGATATATATATATATATATATTTATATAATATTACTCATAATCTCTCTTTAATGTTTTTTTTGTTATATATATAGATATATATAGTATACAGATAT